CGAAAGTATAAAAGAATTTTTTGAAAAAATGGGAATTAAACATGAACGTACAACTCCTTATACTCCAGAAAGTAATGGAAAAGCTGAACGTTTTAATCGTACTATAATTGAATCTGCTAGAACTAAAATTGACGCAGAATTACCGATAAAATTTTGGTCTGAAAGCGTTAAAGTAGCTGTACATGTGAATAACAGGAGTCACAAAAATGATAAAAAGTTTACACAATATGAGCTATATAAAGGACGGAAGCCTAGCATTACTTATCTTAAGATTTGGATGTGAAGCATATGTTTATATAAGACGAGAAAACTTAGAATGATGGATCTAAAAGCTCAAAAAGGAATTATGATAGGCTATAGCATGAAGAGAAAAGCATACAAAACTTATATTCCTGAACAAAATAAAATTCAAGAAGTGAGAGATGTAAAATTTAATGAACAGAAACTTTGATCACCTTTACTGAAACAAAATTATTTAAAATTCGATAAAAATCAAATATTAGAGCTTATTATTTTTACAAAGAACAAACTAATGGCAATGTAAACAATTCAGAAATAACTGACACATATCATAGAGAAGATAATATAACAGATGAAGAAGCTGAGAAAATGTTTCCATCCAAAGTGATGATGAACACGACGATGACAATTCATTGGAAAAGCCAACCGAGTATCCACAAATAAACGAAGAGCCTGGAAATGATAGTCATGGAAATTCTATACAGAAAAGACATGCGCGAATGACGAAGCCCCCAGAAAAATTAAAAGATTATGTAGAAATTCTGGGTACATGCAATGATAGAAGAACTCAGTTCAGTGGAGGCTAATGAAGTCTGGGAATTAGTTGAAAGACCCATCGATAAGAAAGTTATTAAAAACGGCTGGATATTCTCAAAAAGGGATGGAAAGGATAATTTAGACACAGTTTATAAAACAAGAGTAGTAGCAACCAGATTTAATCAAAGAAAAGGAATTGATTATGAAGATGGATTTAGCCCAGTAATGAGACTTGCAACCTTTAGAACATTGCTATCAATTGCAGTTTACAAAAACTACAAAATAAGATTTTTCGATGTAAAAACTGCATATTTGCATGAATACTTGGATAAACCAATTTACATGGAACAACCACCTGGATTTACATCAGATCCGAACAAAGTATATCTTGTAAACAAAAGTATATATGGATTACCACAATCAGGAAAATGCTGGTATGATGAATTATGTAAAGTTCTTAAGAAAAAGAATTTAACTAAAGTCAGATACATGTGTTTATAAAGATAAGTTCAACTATCTTATCATAGCAGTATATGTGGATGAATTAATGGTGACTGGAAATTCAAATTCTGAGATAAGTGACATCATCTCTCAACTATCTAAATCGTTCACATTACGAGAAGTCATTAAAACACACAAATTGTTAGGAATAGACATCCGGCAAGAATCTGGAAAACTTATACTCGGTTAAGAAAAGTATATAACTAAAATTTTAAAAAATTTTGAAACGAATGAATGTAAACCTGTCATCTATATGACAATCTCAAACCAACACTAATCATCAATTGAAAACATCAATTAATGTAATTCTGCACTGTAGAAACGTGTTAAGAACATCAAATGATGGCAAAATGGAGCATACAAGAAAGCAAAAAGCTTTGCTAAGCTCAGAGGACAAAAACAAAAATATTCATTCTTCACAAGATAAACTTGCAATAATTGGATAATGTGTCCCTTATCACATGATTTTTTTTTTATTTTGGGAGAGTTTTACGCTTACAATTTGTAATATTATTTTGAGAATAGCCAATTAAATTGCTCGCAGGTGCAGAAATTACTTAATTTTTCCCACATTTATTTTTAACAATGGAAGCAATAATTACATCTCCTTTAGTTAAGAGCCTTTTATCTTAATTCTAGAAGCAACTTCTTTCTTAAAAAATGTAAAAAGTGGTCGAAGATTCTAGATAAACGTCTCTTAAGATAACCAGCATGTACATACATATTTCAGTTTTTTTATTAGTTCAATATTATGCAGTTGTTGAAATTGTTTAAATTTTCTTTTGCTTTTAGGAAGTTTTCCAAGGTAAATATCAGCAATGTGTTCAACGACACTTATTCGCAAAGAAGCTGACCCTTTTTCACTGCTAAATTTAAGAGGTGACAGGTACATTTCATACTGCATATGCTCATGTAATGTCCGCACTTTTTTTAATTAAAATTACATCACTAAAATGCAAATGCAGACATTACACAGGTCGTTCAAACGCCGTGCTTTTTTCTCATGAGTAATTTTGGGTGTTAATTTCATTTGAAACACCCACGTTAAGTTCTAAGTGGAAGAAAATGGTATAAGCAATAAAAGTATGAAATTTAAAGTTGTCTAATAGCTACCTAAAATTTACAAACTCACTTTCTCCCATCCACATATATAACATAAATTACCCCATTTGCGTTATCAACACTGGGTGCATATTAGTTCGCACAGGAGCACAATATGGAGGCACAAATTAACCAACACTTGCAATTTTAATATTTACTTTTACATAAATTAAATAAACATTGGTTCATTTAATATCTTGCACATATTATTTTTTTAAAAAAAAATCTGGTCTGATGCACTGTATGAAAATCCATTTGTTTTATCATTCGCCACAACCAGCCTTGAATTGCGAAGTAGGAATGTCTTCTTGTGCCGCAGCAAACACTCTTTTACTTGGTACATTTCTCGTGTTACTACATACCCTTGAGCACGCATATCATGAACATAAGCAACTACTTTTTTTCTAAGTTCGGAAACTTACATTTCGAACCACGAAACGGATGTCTTGTTTTGTTCGTTGCTGCCAGTTGATCACACTGTTTGCTCCAATTGCACTTCGTCCAACTTATACGCTCTTGCTGCTACTAGTTTTCCATTTTCTTGTGAAAATTCTAAGAGTTTCAGTTAAAAAGCCACTGTACAGCTACTGTATTTTCACATTTCAAGCACACTACTTGCTAACTACCATGATTCCAAATGATACTATGAATGAAAAGAGAAAGCTTGAAAATATGTGAATGCTTCAAGGAGGAAGGAGGGGGAAGTAATTTCATTGCAAAACAGTATTTCCTGGAAGCCAGTGTGGTGAAAACCTAATTGGACTGCCTTCATTTTGTATTACATCTGCGAGATGGATTACTGCCGCCGATGTTATGACTGAATAACAGCTACACCAGAATGCAAGGAAAGTCTCTGCTTTTCATCCTAGCAGCAACCAAAGACAAAACAAATGAATATTCTTTCTTTAAAGATGTTTATTGACTAATGTTATTGACTAGGAGGGAAAAGGTGATGTTCGAAAAATATATTTTAAAGTATAAGGTATTTCTCCTGCCTTCCTAGCGTGCCTTCGTGCTGTAGTGGTTCTGTATGCTGGGCCGGTATTCCAGAGGTCCGTGGTTCGATTCCCGATGAAGGCGTAATTTTTCATCTTTCCTGCTTCGAAGAAATATACCTAATGTCTCTACAGTGGCGGCCAAACTAAAAGGGTATCGGATAATGATTCTCCTCACCCAGGATTTGGTGATTGGATCCCCTAAAAACCCCAATTGCCCTTTAAAAGGGGGAGTAATAATTTGGGGGACAAATAATGAAGTACTGTAAGGATCTTAAGTTTTACTAACGTTTATTTTATTTTAAATCTTTACTATCACTTCTTATTTTCTACTTCCGGCCAGAATTAAAAGCTTTAACTTATTTATGCAAATTTATTTTGCGAACGCCAAGTACTTAAGTTGTGGCTTTTTGCCAAGCGAGAGAGAGGAAGGAGTTAGTAGAAGCCGGCCGCTTGCCTTAGCAGTTTTACTCGGTTGCTGGTTGCCTTCCAGGCCAGAGGTTTAATCCTCTTAAACATATTGTAGTGTTAACAGTTCTCTGCACTACATACGGCTTCCTGTTAATATATGGCCAATCTTCTCGGAGACCCTTGTTTGTTATTCCAAAGTTAAGTTAGAGTTTAGTTAATATTTTTAATTCTTACGTTCAGACCACAAGTGGTTGGTCTCTGTATTCCGAAGTCCGGAAATTACTGTAAAGAGTGAAAAATAAAGGGTTTCGTATACCCTTCCTGTGTATCTTGTCTACTTCCCACATTTATTGAACATAGCTTTAGTAAGCTCCCTGTTCCGAGTCAGGTTTTTGAATGTTCCCAAAGCAAGTAAGGCGGAACACTGAACCTGATAGTACTACGCCAAGCTACATAAAAATTGTGGGAAATTTTAAGAATAAAGTCTGGAGAAATACGTTAAAAATCAGGTTGGTAGAAGTATAGTCAGAAATCAGGAGTCTCCTGCCTAAATCAGGAGAGTTGGCAACTCTGAAGCATACATGCAGCAACAACTAAATCACATATAAGCATACTGTATATGTGCTTGAGTAGACATGGAATTACATGCTTCATAACTGACCCGTTTCATCAAAAGTCATAGCTGAACAGTACCCATCAAGCTACAAAAAAATGTAAATACTGCCTGAACATTTTTTTCCCTTATAATTTGATTTCATGCTTCATTTTATAACTATTTCTGAACAGAATGACATGATAAATTATATTTATTTTTCACCAACTCACAAAGCTGCCAATGAGTCAACGACATTTTGTGGGGTATGTAGCACGTACCAAATGCAGTAATATTAAAATATGTTGATTTCTAAAAATATTTGAATACAAAATTAACTATATTAAAAACCATCTAATGAAAAATTTTTTTTTATTATTTTTTTTTTTTTTTTTTTTTTTTTTTTTTTTTTGTGTGTGTGTGTGTGTGTTTGTTTTGTTTTTAAGTTTATAACAGACCTAAAACGAATATCTTCAGTGTAATGGTTATCAAGCTATAGATGCTAGAAATTTTTATTTTTAAACGAAAAGATACTCCTGAAACATGCAAATAAAAACTATACATTTAAACTTGAAGACACCAAAAATATACACATTTCTAAATGTCATTTGTGTATATCTTACCTAATGTATGGGCCAGAAAATGATTGATGGCACAAACTAACCACACCCATTGAGGAACAGGAAGTGATGTTGGAACAGAATCACTGGAAGCACAAAAATTGTAGTCATACACCGCAAGAAGAATGGCATTTAATAGAGTGAGAAGGAATCCAGTAAATGTTAAAACATTAGGTGCTAACCACGTTGGCACCAACTGAAAATATAAATATCAAAGAAATATATAAAAGAATGTTCGAATAGTAATTCATTTAATACACTTGCCTATTATATGTACTGATTATATGATCAGCCTTAGGAAACTGATGATTCTGAAAATGAAACCAATATCATTTAATGTAGTTCAAACATTTATTATGCTGCAAAACAATGGATCATAACAATGCTATAATAGTTCCAAGTGAGATTTCTCTCTTCAGCCTATTTTTTTAAAAACAAGACTTTCAAATAATTCTTCTAATGACTTTTTTTAGTAGTGAAAGTTGGAAATACTGCAGACCTCTTGTGCTGTGTTTTCAGCAACCAGCGACATCACATGGTGCTCCAAATTATGCTTTAGCAAATATCCTTTGGTCACTTGATTTCTAGAAAAGGAATTGTTCCATACATGTTATGTTTTGTAGATGTGTCAGTATACCACTACATTTCTGGAGGTCTATGTAATCGCAAATGCACATTAATAAACCTAGGAAAACACTCAGGAGTGCAGGGCAATATTACAGGAAACCAACTGCATCATGATTCAAAAAGCAATCCAAATGGCAGGAAACATTTGAAAAAAAGCTAACAAGAAGAATAGGACTGCTACAATAAATGGCACACTCTATTCTTTGTATTGTGAAATAAATAAATATTTGAACTACATTCCATGGTGTTGATTCCAATCTCAAAATTGTCAGATTCCTGTGGTTCATCCTACACATCAAATATAACAAATAATACATTATAATCAATTCATTTTTAAGCTACCAAAACAGAGTGAGAATATATAAAAATATGTTAAGAGATTTTCAATGTAAAAGAATGTGATTTAAGTGTGTGGGGGTACCATACATCAGGTATTCATTTATTAAAGTTCAAATGGCAAGAACAATATTAGTAGATTTTACTTTTAATAACTTTCAGGCCTACCAGTGTAAAAACTAGATCATCAAAAAATTACAGTTTCCAATTTACTAAAAATATTAAAACACAAATTCAGATACTGTAAGAATAATTTTGACAGCTTTGTAATCATTTTGGCATCTTATTTCTTGGTAGAATTTCTCAATTTTAATTCAAACTAAAAGGAATTTTCTATTTCACACTGTGGCAAACTAAGTTCAATAGCAACAACTTCTACACATTTATAAATTGCTCCTAAGAACTATAATGCACACTTTTTTAGACCTTTTATTAATGTTTTAGCTTGGTAGTTTTAGTTTCACACTATAATACTTTACATCTAACTATCATCATTATTTAAGTAAAATCAATATTTTCAAAATAATTGTTTCTTTCAAAGCATATATTTGCCAAAGCAACATCAATTTGCATTGTATTCAATAAACAGAATAAAAAGAACTTGAAAATTGTATATTTATTTAAATTTAAGCACAACCTGCATTACTACATTAGCAAGTTAAAGATTTCTGATATTAATAAAACACAAAAAGTCTCTATTGATATGCTAATTACTCATGAAATGATATAATCCCTCAATCTAATTTTAATTTAAAAAGTAGGACTAAATTTGGTACAGTATTTTATTCCAATGCTGCCTCCCATCAGTGATCATTAACTCAAGCCACTCAGATTTAATCTTTTTTAATACCATATTTTCTCATGTATTTTTTCCCCTAGCTCTTTAGCAACAGGTTCTGAAAATTTTTAAATTATCCACATAATTAAAGTAATAGGCCTTCCTCAATTCATTCAGAGAACAAGCTCCTCTAAACTGTTAAATGGAGTCGTCCACCCAGTAATTTTTTTGTTCTTACTAACAATGACAAACCATCCCAAACTACTTGCAAAGGTCATGCTGAAACCTTCCCTGCTAACTGTTATGGCAGCTTAATATAAGAACAAGTAAATCTCAGCAAACCAAACACGAACCCATATTTTAAGTTTTTGATGAATTTTTTTCATTTTGCTGAAATTTGTTTGATGAATTTGCTGAATCAGATGCATATTCACCTTCTCTAATTATTTATGGATGATTTGAAGCCTAAGGCATAGCAGAAATAACAATGGGCAAGATTAAAGTTACAAGGAAGCAGAAATGAAAATATCTTATTAGATGTTGTAGTGTTAAAATTACTATGTATTCATACTGGAATATAACTTTCTTTTAGAGAAGTAATACTGCAATAATTACCTGTAGTTTATCCATGACTAATTTTCATTTGTTATGTTCTTACCGTAACCGCATCCTTTGGAAGTTAAATTATTTGCATAATTTCCCCCCCCTCACAATTTTTGGATGCTATTAGTAAAAAAAAGGAGGGAAAACATGCTGATCAAATACAATAATCTAAATAAATTTACCACATTACTCTACACTGGTGGCCATGAATCAGTTATGCCAGTCGCAACCAACACCCTTCGATGCCAAGTTTGGTTTAAGGCTATTTTAATAATCTACCTAAATATAATTTCAAATACATACACTTTTGACATGTCTAGCTTATAACTTTTATGAATATTTGCAAAATTAATTTTAAAAAAGGTATTTTTAATGTTATACATTATACAAATGTTATCTCTAACTACAGTAATTTATAATACATCTAATTTGTATAATTTATACTGAATTTATACTCTGACATTAAAAATGGTTTAGTTGAGACTTCCCATTTCTTGTATATTATACATGGGCATTTATCATCTACATTGCCACACAAACTGCCAGTTCTTAGAGATGCAGTAACTTGATGTTCATCCACAAGATCTTTAATTTATCATCGAAATTACAGCTGTGCTTAACAGTGTATTACATTGCTTTACAAATTGAAGAATTTAAATGGAATTTATGCATTTATTGATAATTTATACCTTTATTTTTAATAACTCTAACTGATATATTTATTATACATCTAATTCATGTGATATAACTAAATAATACTTTTTATAAATATGTGCATTTATTGTAATTAAGGCAAAATGTTTCTAATCACATAAATTATGCACTAGGTGCACATACTTAGCATGAGTTGTTGTTTTTTTTTTGTTGTTGTTGTTGTTGTTTTGTTTATTAACATTTACATCATCACTGTATTTGATAAATATTTTTTATTTTGAAAGAAAACTTATTTAACCCTTTCTGGCACGCTATCTTTTAAAGTTAGAATTTTTACAAGAAAAAAAAATGGTTGATCGTCTAATCAGGCCTAGAGGAGTATAAAGGAGAAATTTTGTAAAGAAAGCCCTTACCATTTTAATTATGAGGATGTGCCTGGAGCAGGCTCACTGAATGAGCTTCCAAACAGAGTGCTGAAGCGAGTATTGCTGGGAAGCAAGTAACAGAGTAAAAGATTTTGTCTACAATTAAAAAAACACTACATTCTGAATACCGTAGCAGATTTAGCATTACCCAGTTTGTGCCACGGGAAAGCCTGCAACTCTACCCCCCCAAAAGCTCTTTTGGCAATATGATGATTACATGTATATAAGTGAAAAAAGTTACTTGGGTATATGATATTTACATTATTTACATTTCATATTTGCACTTTCATCTATTTTTTTTTTTTATGGTAGTACTTTTTGAAGAAGGTGACACCACCTTTTAAAAGGCACAACTCAACACTACATGTTTTGTACATGTACCGGGATCCGTATAAGATTCACTACCTGAAGGCAATTCGTGTAGCACTTTCAGTGCTTCAGAAATGATCAGCCCTTTCTGATCCAGTTGCAAAATAATTAAAAATCAGAAAAAAATGAACTAATATTATATCTACAATTAGAAAATTTAAACTGTACAATAAAATTAAATAAATGTCTACAACTCAAAACTATCAACACGTAGCACTAACCAAACTTCTTTGAAAGAGAAAAAGAGAACTGCTCTAATGAAAAACCAAACTGATAAAATGTCCCCTGACCTTCAGAAAAATCACCCCAACAATTTCTTATTTGATAACCAAACCCCTCCTACAAAAAAAAAAAGAAAAAGAAATAATGGGAAATGAAACACAGATGTGGACCCACCTTTCTATTGTGAATGAACCCACAGGAGAGCTGCAGTGAAAAAAAAAAAAAATACAGTTGGTCTATTCCTAGTGTCTCAGTGACACTCTAGGCACACCTGATGTTCGCCATTCGATTTTAAGCAAGATTTCAAGGTAAAGAATTTAAAACTGATATAGAATAAGGATATTAGCATACAGCCAAGAAAATAACACAGAAATTTCTTTTCAAACAATTCCTTTTATATATTAAAAAAAAAAAAAATCTAAGATTTCTTTGAATAATGTGGGTCTTCAAAAACTAAACATGGCTAAAATATATGGACTGGTTTGTACTGTGCTGCCATCTAGAATAAATAAAGAAGGTTCAGAGTAACCTATATTATACTAACCTATAAATCCTTTTTCATTCAATTTTTCTGTGAGTACAGAGGGAAAATTTTAGGTGTGCCACAAAGGGTTAAGAAAAGCATTTCGAAAAGTAATGCAAAATCTAAGGGTATTTACATTTTAACACAACTCCATTGGTGCAATTTGGAAATTTTTTACAGATGAAACTGTAAGTTACTTCTTCAAGGTGGTAATTTTTTTCCCGTGGGAAGACTTTTTTTTTAGAAATATTACCAAACTATCGATATTTATCATGAGTTGGTACACATTATCAACATACAAAAAGAAAATATACTTTAGAATTTTAAAATACAGCTTTGAATTATTAATTAAGGATTACATTATACATTTAAAAAGTAAAACACTTGCAATCTTCTTCAGATCTTTCTGTATTTTTTTTTTTTTTTTTGTTTGTGCTATTCTTCTCTTCAAGTACACAGTGATCTGTTTTCAATTTAAAAAATTCAGAGAATTGAGCAGATTTGGCTTCGTGCAATCCCCAGCAATAGCTGCTATCAAGGAAATACACTTTGCTATTGTTCTCGTTTGAACATTTTCAACAGAATTCTTGCAGAAATTGTACTGCAGCTTCTTGACTGCTGGAAAATTCCACAAACTCACATTTTAAAAGCAAGTTTAA